CCGTCGGGCCCCGCGACGAGCAGCCCGCCGTCCCGAGCGCGCCGCTGGGTGCCCTGCGCGGCGGCCGGGGCGATGCCGCCTGCTGCCCGCTGAGGCCCCGAGCATGGCCCGGTCGCTGACCTGGAGCTGCTGCCCCTGGTGCCTGACGGAGGAGGAGAAGACGGCCGCGCGGATCGACCAGGAGATCAACAAGATCCTCCTGGAGCAGAAGAGGCAGGACCGCGGGGAGCTGAAGCTGCTGCTGCTGGGTGAGCGCGGCGGGGGGAGGCCGGCGGGGGGAGGCCGGCGAGGCCGGGGCGAGGCTGGCGAGGCCGAGGGGAGGCCGCGGCCGTCCCGGGCCAGACCGTGCCACAGCCCGGGCACCGCGTGCGAAAAGCCGAGCTCCCCTGCGGTCGGGCGGCAGCCCCGCGCCCAGGCTCGGCAGGGCGCAGGGCACCGGCGAGGCAGACCCACCACGCCCTGCCCGCCTGTGTCATGGCACGGGAATGAGGATGAGCCCAGGTGCACAACCCGCCCGGCCGGCCGCAGGGAGGGGCCGCCGGCCTCCTCCTCCACCTCCGAGGCCAGGCTCCCCTTGCTGCTTTGCGCCGCTGCCCTCGGAGGAGGGCTTGTCCAGGGGTGTCCTGGGCCAGGACCGCAGGACTAGCTGGCCCGCCGCTCATTCATCCACTGGAGACTAATTTAGTGAGTCGGTGGCAGGAGGGAAGCAGGTCTGCGTGGCCATGGGTCCGCCAGCGAGGAGCACCCATTCATGGGGTAAACCCCGCGACAGAAACTTCCGGCAAGAAGGCTTGGTGCACAACCAAACGGGGCGAGGAAGTACAAGCGCGGGCAGTTGGAGTTGATGGTGGCCAGGGTTTTAAGGCTCCAAGAGTCTGAACTCTGAAGCCTCAGGGCCCTTGTCTCTGCTCCCTGGACTGTCCCCTGCTCAGGGGCCACTGACCCAACTGCGAGGACCCAAGGTTTGGAGGGTCTCCTGGATCCCCGAGTCCTGGGCTGGGACTGGAGGTCAGGACTTCTGAACCCATGTGTGGCTGTCCTGGGCAAAAAGGCTGGTCACCCACTGTGGGGGCCACGTTCTTCTCTGGCCCAGTGGGAAGAGGCAGCCCCGGGAGGGGGGAGAGGAACAGAGTGGGCAGGGCTGGGGTGGCACCTTCATGGGGAGTCCTTCCAACTCTGGCCTCCACCCGCCATGAACTACCGCAGTTCTCCCTGTTCCGTCCTGGTGTGGCCCAGAATCCAGGCTCCGGCACCCCCCGCCCATGTGCACTCTGGTACTTTCCGGTGACCCTTTGGGGGCAGTGTCTGACTTCCTTGCTGGGAGCTGAGCATTTGCTTTTCTCCTTGATGTTTGGTAGCATGAAGGGTGAAACCACCTGAGCCTGCAAGGTCTCTGATTAAGGCTGTAATCACCGCTGGGCACGGTGGCACACCTGTAACCCCGAGTGCCTGGGCGGTGGGGCAGGAGGATCCCAAGTTTGAGGCCTGTCTCAGGATAAAATAAGAAGTGCCAATCCCCAGCTCTGCAAAAAAGTTCTTTCTTCAAACGATACCTCTGTCTCTGTGACTCAGTGACTGTAATAGATGTCATCTCTGTGTGACGTCATCAACCGGAGCTCTGACGTTCACCACAGAGGCACGTCCGTGTCATTATTCCTTGGGGCCTTGTGGGCATCGACTTATCCTTGAGGGAGCTCTGGCCCTTTGAGTCTTTCAAAGACTGTCCATTCCTCTGCGTCCTCGGTGTGTGGCGACGCGCCCTTCGTAACACCCCGGCGCTCCTGCTGCCTGTAGGATCCATGGTGATGCCCCCTGCGCCCTCGGTGCTGGACAGTCTCTGCCCCTGCCCCTGGACCTGCAGGCAGGGGCTCCTGGGTTTCAGAGAGCTGTCTGCAGCGCCCCGGGCTCCACCGCCCGGCCGCCGCGCGCTCGGCCCCCTTCCCCCAGCGTCCACTCCCCGCAGGCCTCAGCCCGAGCACCCTGCGAGAGGTCTCCCACCCTGGCCATGAGGGCCGCCGTCCTGTGGCCTCTCCTCTGACCCTCTTCCAGACTCGCCCTCACTTGTGGGGGCCTCACCGCTCATCTGTCCAGTTACACGGTGGACACATGCGCGGACCACAGCTGCCCGCCCTGTGTAGGGTGAGCCCAGCCGGGCAGGGATGAATAGGGATGGTTCCTGACTCGGAGGATCTTCCCAGGGGCTGTGTGACGTCTTCCTGGAGCTGGGAAAGGCCCGTGGTGGCTCCAGCGCAGGGCGCTCAGCCAGCCACACACCAGGGAGCCCCTCTGCCGGCCCCCGCTGACTGGCTGCCCCCACCTGGGGGCTGCCTCCACCCCCCCCTGAAAACAGGAATCGAATCTAAAAGTGACTGCTTTCTCCTGGAGATGACTGATCCTTTGAGGAAGTTGGCGAAGTGCTGGGTGGAGGTGAGACTGTCCCCAACCGTGGGGAGAGAGGAGCCGGCTGTCCGCAGGGCCGGGAGGCGGAGGCCAGGGAGGTGGACCCAGCTGGTTGCAGTCTGCCCTCCTCACTGCTCTGCTGTCCCTCAGGAGGAGGAGAGCCACAAACGCCAGTGACAGATAGGGACACTGAGGCCCAGCAGCAAGTGTGGGCCGGAGCCAGGCCGCGTGGCCAGCCGCCTGCCCCCTTTCCCCAGGCCTGGCTCGCCAGGCCAGAGAGATGCCCCGTGACTCCGGGGCTCGGCCCCCGCCGTGGCAGCTGCTCCCGCAGCCTGGCCCCTCAGAGTGTCCTAGGGCAGACCCCACCTCTGCCCAGGAGCAGACAACCCACGTCCCGGGCGTCAGGACGGTGACAGGCGGCAAAGACAGGGTCCCCTGGTGTTTTTCAGACTCTGGGCTACAGTCCATCTGCGGGTCCCAGAGCCCACGTTGTGAGCCGCCAACAATTATCATGGTCATCATCGTGATTTTTGCCTTTGATGAAACACGGGAGGTTGACGTCCACGGCGCAGCCCCAGCAGGGCCTGCTCCCGCGGGACAGCCGCTGGCGTGTGCCTCTGGGGACCCAAGGTGGAGGAGAGAGGTCGAAGCCCGTCCCCGGCTGCAGCTCCCGTGGGACTGCCTAGTGGCCCAGTGTGCATGGAAACGTCGTCACCCCACAGTGACACGCTGGCCCAGGGACCGGGTTTCCTCCCTGTCTCCTCGCTGTGTGGTCCTAGGCAGGTCACCTGAGCTCTCTGATCCCCGTGTCTCCTTGAAGTGGAAAACAGAGGGAGTCTCTGAGGAATGAGGGGGACCCGGGGGTCTCAGCTGGGGCCTCACACCAGCTGCAGTGAGGACGAGGACAATGAATTGGGACAGGGCCAGGCGCAACCGAAGCGGGTTCAGTTAGAACCTTGTGTCCTGGGGCTGGGGCGTAGCTCACGCCGGGCGCCTGCCTGCCCTAGGGGCCCAGCTCGGCACTGACCTGGGGAGCTGGGCGGCCATCAGACCTAAGGCAGGCCCTGCCCAGCTGGGACTCAGTTCCCCATGAGAAGAGGCCAAGCAGCAGCCTCTCCTGGCGAGGCTTGGGCAGGGGGGTGCGCACCTGAGCACCAGCCGCGGGCCAGGAGCCCACGGCCACCTCGGCCAGCCCCGGTCACTGCGGCTCCCAAGCCGAGGGCCGCGGGTCTCGGAGCCTCCTGGGGGTGCAGGCGTCTCCCCCACGGTTGGGCCTCCGTCCACTGTAGGAGCCCTCGGGGGTCTCACGCCCTAGCTGCGGGGAGTCCTGGCCTGAGACGCAGTGGCCCCCGTGGCCCCCATGGCCCATGCTGGGAGGTCCCCAGAGCTTCAGAGGGGGACCTGCACTGTTGCCTGGGGGCCTTTGCTTGTTTTTAAGGTAATTTCTTTTTTTACCTTTTTTTGTCGCCGTAGACGGGCAGCCCTTATTGTCTGTGTTTCTGTGCGGAGCGGAGGGTCCGACCTGCTGGCCCGCGCCCTGCCCCAGCCCGCCCGGGGACCTCTTATTTGGCATGATTTTACATGTGTAGAGAAGTCGTGGCCCCCAGGGTCCCGTCAGCCCCCTCCAGCCCCCTGTGGCACCTGGCAGACCCTCCTGTACTGGCCACCGGGGTGGGGCGGGGTCATGCGGCACGTCTGGTGTCCACTGGCTGGACTGCAGGCCTCCCCACGTCTCCCCACAAACCCTTCCCGTGCTCCGGGGGCCTCACCTGGCACTCGGGCCCCCTTCTCTAACTTTTTTATTTTTCTTGAGAGAGAATTTTAATATTTATTTTTAGTTTTCGGTGGACACACATCTTTGTTGGTATGTGGTGCTGAGGATCGAACCCGGGCCGCACGCATGCCAGGCGAGCGCGCTACCACTTGAGCCACATCCCCAGCCCCTCTCCTAACTTTTTACTGAGAAATAACTTCATACCATGGAAGTTGCTCCTGGGTTCCTCTGTGCAGGGCCACGTGGCGCCCCATTTCCTGTACTCGCTGTCTCTGCACACGCTCACACACACGTGCACACACGCATACACACATGTGCACACATGCGCACGCGCAGTAACGAGGAGCAGGTGGAGCCTCCCTCCCCCCTTCCTTCCTCCGTGGTCTCGAGGGCCGTGGACTCTGGGCTCAGAGCATCCTCCTGCCCCTGCCCCCTGCGCCCCAGCGGGATGTCCCGCTGAGCGCATTGCTAGGTGGCTTCGGTGGGAGCACGTTCGCACAGACCAAGACGGTACAGGTCAGTCGCTCCACGTGGCCTCTCGAGGCCATCAAGACACGCTGTGCTCTAAAATAAGGATCCAGAGTGTAGTGTGGACAGCGGGCGGGGGCCATGCCGGTCATGCCGGACTCCCCACGACTCTGGAGGCTGAGGCAGGAGGATCTCAAGTTCCAGGCCAGCCTGGGAGACTTAGCAAGACCCTAAGCAACTTACTGAGACCCTGCCTCAAACTGAACTCGGGCTCGGGATGTGGGTTGGCAGTAGAGCAGCCTGCATTCAGTCCTCAGGACCAGAAAAGTCTCCTAAATTTAGGGCGTGAGTCAGCCACATGGCCGCCAGTCACCACTTCAAGTGCCATGTGCCACAGTGACCGCAAGCCACATGCCCTGCTTCCTCCCGACTGGCATTACCAGCATTTCTGTGACAGCAGGAAGGCACCCAGCTCTGTTGTCACCAGGCGATGGGACGTCAGCTCCACCCCGATGGCGTCCCTGACTGACCTGGGGGGCTCTGTAGGGGACAGGCGGCCAGCCACGGGGAGCTGCGTGTGTTCAGACCGCGTGCGAGCGCACACGGACACACTCACCACCCTCACTGCGTGTGAATTGCTCGATGGCATCTGCCCTTGGCCCCACGAGTGGGAAGTCCTCTGGCCGAGCGGCCTGGTGGCCGAGTGGTCTGGTGGCCGAGTGGCCCTGGCATACACGTGCACAGTTGACTGGCACACGCCTGGTTTCCCTGAGCCGCCGGCTGACTCCTGTCCCCGCCGAGGCCTCTGGGGATCGAGAAGCAAGGAGCCAGCACAATGGCTGGGGTTGGCGATGGGCAGGGCCGCCCTCGGCCAGCCTGCGCCCTTTCCCACTCTGCCAGCCCCCAACTCCCCACGTACGTCCTTCACGGCGGGAGAGACGTTTTCTTGGACCTTGAGTCCAAGAGACTGGACACCAGGGAAGGCTCAGAGGCCAGGTGGCCGCCGCCCGCCCGCACAGATGCAGAGGGAGCTGCGGGCGCCTGGCGGGTGGCGGGTGGTGGTCCGCCGGCTCCTGGTTCCCCTTTCTGGCCCTTCCCTTTTCACTGCTGTCCCAGTTCCTCCCGAGTTAACTGCCTCCCTCCGGGGCCAGGCACAGGACTTGTCCCCACTCCCCGTCCCCAGGACGACCCCGGCCAGCGTCCTCCAGGGCCCAGCGACCAGCTCCTGCCCCGCCTCCCTCCACGCTCAGAGGCTTTGCAGAGAAGGACAAGCAGAGGGCCGTCTTGGCGTCAGCCTTGGACCCGGGGCTGGGCCGCGGCCTGGGTATTGGTGGCCCAGTGGAGTGCTCACAGGCCAGGGCCAGCTGTGCAGGCGCAGCCTGGCGGGCAGGGAGGGCCCGAGCTTCCTCCGAGCCACCCTCACGTGGCGCAGGAGGCTTTGCAAGGCCTGGGCCCTGCTCCTGTCTGCAGGCAAGGCCACCCAGCACGTCCCCCTGTCCCCAGCTGCACGGGGGCAGCTTGGAGCCCATCACTGCCCACCCGGACTAGCACGGTCACCTCCACCTGGTCTCTGGCTCCAGGCCCGCCCCACCCCCGGGATCTGTCCTCCCTGCAGAGGGTGCCTCTGAGCACCCGAACCAGGCCTCTCCCTCCTCTGCCCACAGCCCTCCATGGCTCCCACCTCCGTCAGGGTCCAAGCCCAGGTCCTCCCGCAGCCCCGGACCCTGCCCAGCCTGCCCGTCCTCTTCCTCCCCGTGTCTCCCCCCTCCCCTGCTGCAGCCACACAGCTCCCTGCTGTGCCTCCAACCTGCCGGCCCCCTCCAACCCCAGGGCCTTTGCATGGCTCTGCCTCTGCCCCGAAGGCTCTTCTTCCTGATCTTGGCACAAGAGGGACTTCCCTGGCCTCAGACCCTGACCTGCAAGTCACCTCTGCGAGAGGTCTTCCTGAACCCCCCGCAGTCCCCAGATCACTGTACCTGTGTGTCCTAGCCAGCAGTCATGATGCAAAGCAGCTGTGTGGCTCTTCACGAGCCAGGACCAGGACCAGCGGTGACCTAGTCCTCCCCATGGGCCAGGCAGTCTCTGCCCCACCAGGCCCCTGGCCCCTGCGGCTCCGTGCCAGGCCAACTCTGCTCCTGGCTGGGCTGCGGCTGCGTCCCTTCCCACACGGGAGAGAAAAAACTCATCGTGAGGCTGGACTGGGTCAGCGCGCGGCCCTGGGTTCCAGCCTCAGCACACACAGAGATGGATCAGTAAAATAAGGGTGTTGTGTCCACTACAACTGAAAAACAAACGTCTTTTAAAACTCCATCACGAATGCGGGGATGCGATGTTCACGTGATTTCCACGCGACGTGAACTACTGTTCTGACTCAGTCTTTTTGAAATGCAAGAACTACAACCCCAACAAGAATCGGAATTGGAGAAAACCACACTGAGGGCGTCAACTGGCCAGCCACGCGCAATAGGCAGTTGGCTGGACCTGCAGGCCGCAGGGTGCTGACCCCTGTGGGGAGACTGGACAGTGGATTCCTGCAGCCCCCACACCACTTCCCCGTGGGGAGGCCGAGGCTCAGCGTCACCAGCCCAGGGCACACAGCGAGGGTGTGGACAGGGTCCGGCTGGCTGCCCGGTGCCGTGTGGCAGGGGCTGAGCGCTGGTTCTGTGGGTGTCCCCAGGGCCTGGCGAGAGCGGCAAGAGCACCTTCATCAAGCAGATGCGCATCATCCACGGCAACGGCTACTCGGAGGAGGAGCGCAAGGGCTTCCGGCCGCTGGTCTACCAGAACATCTTTGTGTCCATGCAGGCCCTGATCGAGGCCATGGGCAGGCTGCAGATCCCCTTCAGCAGGCCTGAGAGCCAGGTGAGCCCCCGAGGCAGGGCGCACCCCCAGACCAGGTGGGGAGCCCACCAGACCCTGAGAGCCCTGGGCTGAGCTGGTGTCCCCGTTTGTGTCACGAGATGTGTCTGAAATCTGAAAAGCTCTGAGCTTTGAATCCAGTCCGGTCCGAGGTGAGCAGTGATGCCCTGGGGGGCTGGCAAGGGACCTTGGGGACTTAGGATTCCCGAAACCAGGCATGGAGCCACACCTGTCCCCCAGTGACTAGGAAGGAGGCCCAGGCAGGAGGATCGCAGGCTCCAGGCCAGCCTCAGCAACAACCCAGCAAGGCCCTGTCTCAGAGTCAGACAAAAGCCCCATCAAAGCACAAAAACGTCCACGATTTAAAAAAGCAAGACAGGGCTCCAGGCAGAGGCTGAGTGAGCGTCACCAGGCAGATGCACGTGGGCCACCGCCCGGGGGGAGCAGGGCGGGCAGCAGGCCTGTCCCCAGAGGCCCCTTCCCCAGTCCATCTCCCTGGGTGGCCCGTGTCTGAACTTCTCAGTGGGGACCGGACGGTGGGCTCAGCTCTCGCGGGCTCACTTGTCCTCGCCTGCTGGGCTCGTGTCCACTGAGAGGCTTGGCTTTGTGGCCATGCCATTCGCTGGACGTCTGGGTCATCTCAGGAGATATGGGAAGTCTGTCGCTCTGTTGGGTGGGTGGCTCGGGAAGCCGGTCCCCTGGGCAGGCTGGTCCCCCGGGCAGGCTGGTCCCCCAGCCCTTTATTCCCTGGGAGAGTGACGAGGGGGGGGTAACTCTGGCTCACCTGGGGCCCCCGTCCATGGTGTGTGGCCTGTGGCTCGGGGCCCGCCGTGGGCCCGGGCACCCATCTCGGGGCTGGGGACTGAACAAGAGGAAGGTGAAAGGGCTGGGGTCCCACTGTCCCCTTCTGGGGCAGTCCCAGTGACCTGGGACCCCACCTCCACATTTCCAGCACCTGCCCCGAGCCCAGCGGGGACCCCCCTCCACTCCTGGGCCTCGGGGTGCAGGGGTCCTGCCGTGGCCGGAGCTCACTGCTGGCTGCGTCTCCTTGTGGCATGAGAAGCGGGCACTGCCCTGTGGCTTTGGACTCTGGGGACACAGGTCTTGCTGTGCTGCAGGCTGGCCTCGGCCTCCCGCGTGGCCGGCCCCCTCCGTCCCCCTCCTCTCCTGAGCCGCTGTGCCTTCTGCCCATGTTCTGCTTCATGCCCTCTTCAAAGCCCCTTTCCTCCCTGACCTGTGACCCATCTGCGGGTCCTGGTCCCCCACCTGAGGGTCCCTTCCCACTGTTGTCACGGTGTCTGCAGGACAGAGCCTTCGTCCCAGTGAGTCCAGTGGCTCCATCTCTTCTGACCAGTCCTGTCTGTGTGCGTCTGTGTCCACCCCGGTCCTGCGGGGAGACCCCGTTTCTGCCCATCTCTAGGCCCGGCTTCGCTGTCTGCCTGTGGCTCGACTTTCCACGGGGGTCGGTCGTGCAGCGCGTGAGGCAGGCGGCAATTTCCCTGTCCCTTCTGTCCTGTGGGCTGTCACCATGTCGAGGACACCGTCCTTCCTTGACTGCTGTCAGCCCCGGTGCCGCGATGTGCTCGGGGCCGAGTCCCTGGTCTGTTCTCTGGCTCTGCTGACCTGCCCTTCAGTGAACACGCGTGTCCCCCGTGGCTTCCTGGGGGAGCTCTGAGACCCACGAAGGCCCCTCCCAGGATGCTCTGCGGCTGGGCTGCTCCAGGACCGTCCTAACAGTGTATCTGCTCTCTCGCTCTCTCTCACACACACACACGCACACACCACTACCTTTCTGGGACTCTGATCAGGACTGCATCGAATGCACGGATCAATCGATGGAGAGACAACAACCTGTAAATACCAGACCTCCCAATCCATGAACATGGCACATCCTCCGTTTATCTAGGTCTTTTTTTTGGGGGGTGTCAGGGACTGAACCCAGGGGCCCTCACCACTGAGCCACACCCCAGCCCGTTTTTGTGTTTTATTTAGGGTCAGGGCCTGGCTGAGTTGCTTAGGCTGAGGCTGGCTTTGAACTCCTGATCCTCCTGCCTCCGCCTCCTGAGCCACTGGGATCACAGGTGTGGCCACCGGGCCCAGCTTGAGCTTAGAACTTCTAAGACCCCCGTGTCTCTCTCCAGCACCACGCCAGCCTGGTCATGAGCCAGGATCCCTACAAGGTGACCACGTTCGAGCAGCGCTGTGCGGTGGCCGTGCAGTACTTGTGGCAGGACGCTGGCGTCCAGGCCTGCTATGAGCGCCGGCGTGAGTTCCACCTGCTGGACTCGGCAGTGTAGTGAGTCTGGGGTTGCGGGCCACGGGCGTGGGGGGGCTGGGGGCAGGGAGAGACAGAGGAGCAGCCCCCGTGGACCCAGGCCAGGGGCCAGTCCCCCCGATTGCTGGGCAGTGCAGGGCAGCGTGGATGGCTCCCCCCAACAGGGCGACATTCTCCCTGGGGTGGTCCTACTCCTGAGGTGACACTGCACACCCAGGGTGACGGGGCTGGGGAGCCTGTCCTCGCGTTTACACACCTCCTGGGGCTGAACAGCCAAGGGACAGGCTGCAACACGGGCCGCGGGCTCTTGTCCCACAGCTACCTGTCCCACCTGGAGCGCATCACTGAGGACGGCTACATCCCCACGGCACAGGACGTACTGCGGAGCCGCATGCCCACCACTGGCATCAACGAGTACTGCTTCTCTGTGCAGAAAACCAAACTGCGGTCAGTGCCCAACTTGGTCCCTACCCCCAGCTGGCCTGGGGAAGGCTCTTGCAGAGGGGATAAGGAGCTGGATCCCTGAGGAGTGAAGAGGAGCTTGGGGTCCCAGGCTCCAATGGGGTGACTCCTCCAGCCCCTGTTTGGTCAGGACTGGCAACTGGAGGGGCCTGGGCGAGGCCCCAGGGCCCCAGGAGAGGTGTCCTGGAGGAGGGACATTGGTATTGGGGTACTGAAGGATGGATAGGAGTTTACTAGTCCCAACCCTCAAGGGGCTGCCAGGGAAAAGAAAACAGAGACCGTGTGGTCAGGGCTAGGCCAGAGGGATGACCTCCAGGCTTGGGGAGCTCGGGAGTCATCTCTGGTCAATATCAGGAGAAGACTAGAGGGTCAGGGTAAGGCTGGAGGCAGGAGAGTCAGAAAGAGGCCGGAAGGGTTGGTGAGGCCGGGACAGTGGCTTGCACATGGGAATGACAGGAGGTCCAAGGCTTGTTGCAGATGCAGGACAGGCAGGACTAGGCAGGTGTGGGAACTGGAACAGGAAGTAAGAACACTGCTTGGGAGCTCCTGTCACGGTCACAGTGGAGCCAACAGGATGGGGGTGACGAGGTAAGACAATGAAGCCACAGGGGTTGAGTTTCAGGGACCTGGGGACACCTGGAAGTGGCTGGATGAAGGGTTGAGCTGAAGACAGAGTGAGGGGCCAGGGCAGGGCGTCATTGCTGGGGTCATCCAGCAATGGTGGCCAATGAAAGGGTCAAGGAGAGGAGCTCGAGTCTTCTGCTGTTTTGATCAGCCCAGGGTCAAGAGCAGAAGTGGTAATGTGGGTGAAAGGTTGGAAAGGTGCAAGGAGGTGGATGGTGGATGGGTGGTGGGGTGGTGGGTGGTGGGTGGATGGTGGATGGTGGGTGGTGGGTGGATGGTGGATGGTGGATGGATGGTAGGTAGATGGATGGTGGATGGTGGGTGGTGGGTTGATGGTGGGTGGATGGATGGTGGATGGTGGATGGATGGTGGATAATGGGTGGATGGATGGTGGATGGTGGGTGGATGGTGGGTGG